AAGATCGACCCTCACACAAGCGATTTTGTGAGATCGACTTCAACACATCATAGCTATGGTCCTTGTGAGTCTTCAGATACGTCGGAGGTGCGCCGCCTAATCCCAATCCCCGACGAAAATTTGAAACGTCTAGACATTGAGCGGATGCAGGCCGTCTCAATTTTTTATCAGTAGCTCCGCCCTCTCCTTAATGTGGCCTTGCGACAACCCATTCCTTGGTGTGAAAGCCGACCGTGTTTTTTAAAAAAAATTTCAAATTCTCAGCAGCAGTCAAGCTTTGAAGCACTGCGATGACCGCCATCGCTCGGCCAAACGTTACTATTGTCGAGCTAATGGCTGTTATCGATGATTGTGATCGGCTAACCAATCGAATTGCGCTGCACTGTCGATGTGGTGGCTCGTCACGCCACCGCCCAAGGTGTTGCAGCTAGTTGTTTCCTACCGCTAATGACAACTATTGATTTGATCAACACGGATATTTAGATCTCAGGGTCGCGCGACAAACAATCTGAAGTCAGCAGCAAATTAATCTGCAGCAAAAGACGCGTCTGCGTTGTTTAAATAGTATATTCTAGATGGATTCTGACCTCGCTGTTTCTGCTGCGGTCAGTGTAGTTATTCCTGGCCTGGACCCGCGTAACGTGGACTTAACCGCCTAATTTTGTCGTGATTTCTTGCTACGCGCTAACCGACTGTAATTCCCTTTTATAGTCGTCGACCTAACAGAATATATTGACGCGGCTCGATAACCACAGCCTCATCACGCCAAAACACGCCTGCCATGGATCGTGTGGAAATTTTGGGAAACCCTCATCCCGTTGTGTCATTGGCTTCGTCAATACATGCCGCATTTACGTCTGGTGGGTCATCTTTTTTGTCGTCTTCATCTTTAAAGACCCTCATAGTGGTGACATCCACGTCCGTGAATGCTGAGCCCGTCGAAGTGGTTTCTTCGTCTACACCGACTCTGTAACGGGGTAGCCTGTTACATGACATTGTCATTAGGAAGAAAATGACAATAAGGAATATTACGTTGAACTTTTTTTCAACAAAATCACTAAGCATTGTGATATTGTTGAGATGACCGAAGGGTCTACCCATTGGTTGATATTGAGATGATGTCAACCCATCAATCGATGCTAGACGCGCGGAATGGTGGTGAGTAGACGTCATCATACATTTAGTTAGATTAATAAAATAAAGTCAGAACGAACAAGACAAACCAGGGTTGTATGACTTAATTGTATCAAATTACAGTTTTACTTTTACCACGACCAGACTCTTTAACTTTGTCGCTTACCTTCCTCTGCATTAGTATAATACACAGCAGGGCACTGACCTTCACTGTTGTCAGTGATAGGTTAGCTCCGTACTGGGAGACCAGTACGTAGTTGTCGGTGTTCCGTTACAGACGCCACTACCTTTATATCCGATCTATTGATCAGATGTTTATCATAATTGGCTTCAGGCCTCGTACCCACTACACATTCTCCACAAGAATCTTTTCCTCAGCGTCTATTACGGTGTAGGCGAAACAATTTTGGCTGTGGCGTTCTGTAACGTCCGCAACTTTTTCTTGATCGCTGACTCTCGTCCAGTTGCTCATTGTCGATCGACTTCTAGTCTATCGCAACGTCTGCTTCATCGTCAGGATCACCGCATTTCGTCAATGGTTATAATTTGACGAAATATAGCTGTTCAACGAGACGGCTACAATTTAGTTTTGTATCGCCATCTCCCGTCCCTGATTAATCGTCACCAACCACACTGAAGCTCGCCTTGACATGTTCCCCTTCGTTTGAATCACCAATTTTGATCTCTGGCCAGTATTCGCCGACCCTGTTGTGTCCCATTGTTACGTCTTCAACTTCGTCCGAATGACCGACTATGACTCGTATAACATTTACCTCGTCGTCGACCACATGACCTAGAATTCTTGTTCGTCGTTGTTGAATAAGCCTTTAACGCAGCTTCTTGCGACACATACCCTCACTTGTTCGTGATTGCCCTTTTTTCGTCACTGAAATCATGGCGAAAGGGAAAATCAGCTGAACTTGAGTTGCCAAGCCCTTTTTTTCATCAGCCAAGAGAGAAAACGTTTTCTCGAACTATATCGAAGAAGAAGCAGAATTCTACATTAAGTGTGGGGCACTCCATCATCATCTTTGATGATTTCATGGGGGAAGAGTTTTTGATCGTCTCTTTTGTGTCCGAACCGATGTTGCGTTTGCCCCGCACCCACCAAAATGGCTTTTTGAGTGTTACTTCTGTCTCTCTCACATCGAGTGCTGGTCCTCCTCGGATGTGGACACTCTCAAAATGGCTTCTTTTCCACCGTAGACAGTAAATATAGTTCCGTCTGCTGGAGCTCTCCGAAGGCTTACGCTGGTCGTCAAATGACTCATTCACCAAAGAAGAGAGGAAATTACCCCGCGCTTGTCGCAAGCTCGGAGGAAGAAGTCGAAACCCGCGGTGTCTGCACACTTATCTTCTGTATCGCTCCATTCGCCGCTGTCGAACGGCGTTGTGGTCGTTGCCCCATCGCTTCCCTTGTAGGGATACTACAAATTTTGTAGCTCCAGGGCTCTTCTACATTGTTTGCTCAACGATAGTTTGAGTATAGTCCTTCAGCTCTTCCACAATGTTCGATTAAGGATAATGCAAGTCAAGTGGTCTCTTGTGACGCTTGGTAGGCCCCAACCATGAGGGAGAGCGAAAACGTCACGATTTTAACTCAGATCATCGCGTATTGTATCTGCTCAATTGTGTGTCCTTCAAGTTCCTCTTAAGTCAAATTTCTACGTCGTTCACCATCCCGTAACTCTTGTTGGGTTTCTTGCTTTTGTCGACGTGCTTAACTTTTTGCATTAGTGTTAGCGGAAGTTTCCTATACAATATTCGACGTCTATGTTTTTGCCCATGAACATTGTAGACGAAGTGCGAGCGCAAAATCGGACGCTTAAACTTCCATCTGTATAAAACAAAGAAAGTATCGATAACGAATTATATTAAACAGCGCGCCAGATGCGCTTCGGCCCCCTGCAGGGGTTCTCGTCAGTATCTTTATTAATCTAGAACTGAGGACTTTCTCTATCCTGCGCTCAACAAGTTAGACCCTTCTGGAACTTTGTGTACGCACATAAATCACCGACCATGAATACCAAACCTGGCAGCTGGGCCGTCGACCCAGAAGGGAGTGTACGCTATGATATCTCCACTTCCAACACCATTTACTATTATAACTCTCTTTTAACTGACGCTTCGACTAAATGTCGTGGGGACAACTGTGATCAGGGAAAACTCGCCGATGTGAACGCTCGCTCACTAATCTTTGTGGCTCCTTGAATGAGGACTTGTTGATTCTTTGAGTCGAGTATCGTGATAGGCATGTACCTCGATCTAAATCTAGATTGATGAACCGAGAAGCTGACTTGAGTTTTTACCGCTTAGACCGAGTTTCTATTTCTTGAAAAATACGCGAATACTGTTTGCGGGTAGTTATAAAACGTCGAGCCGTGTCCTTCATGGAGCAGTAGCTAATTTAGTAGTAACACGTGCCTCATAATTGAGTATATAGACGTAGAATGCACTGGGCACGCTCTTGCAAGATGACTATTATGACCTTGTTTAAACCGAATACAAGGCTACTTGCCCCCGTCGTCACGTACACGTGGCGTGAGGAAGCGCAGCGAAGTAGGCAGAACTCGAAAGCTCTGTCTAAGGAAAAAGTAAAACTGTATTCAATATAGTTATGTTCTTATAATAAACCATCTTTCTTCTTGAGCTAACTATATAAAACTACAATCTCATATGTGGGTTTTTTGCTCACCACCCATTGCGCGCGTGCAGCAGTAATTGGTGGTTAATCTGGTTGATGTACCGTGAACATCAACTATCAGATGGAGCAACCCATCAAAGAAATATTACCCTCGGGGGTAATATTTCTTCAATCTTACTCCTTACGAGTAATGTCAATTGAACATTATCTGAATAGATAATGTTCAAAAATTGATATGAAAATATCAATTTTTATGTAACGGGCTCACCCCGATACGTACACCGCGTTTTCGTCATAATGCGCATGCAGTCATTGGTACTACGATGACGTCACCCGAAGAGATGATTGCTCTGGGAAAATCTATCGAAGCTATCTGCCATGTAAGTACGTTCATTTCAAGGATTAGCCTTAGCACGCAAGCACAAGTCAATCATAAACACGCAACAAAGGTACGGGTGTGGGGGGATCTTTTCTTTTGGTCTCAGCTTTTTACCGTCTTTGTTCCCGTCGACAAATTGTTGCTTCACATGCGTTACAGCCACACTCAAACTTTGCAAACATCTATCACATGTATATACGACCCCGTTGAATGGCTTATTGCAGCTGATGCATCCCACCTTCGCATGTCCGATCCCAACACTACACGTCATGTCAGTCGTGTTCTATCATGTTTATCTTTTCCCGTAACATGTCGGTTGCTGGCCAACCTATCCCACCACAATATGTCTGACTGCCAATGCCTTACCTACCCGTGCCAATACCACCACATCCATTGCGATTCAGACCCAATGGGTGTGGCAAGCATGAGCGTAGCGCTCATGCTTACGGGAAGGAGCGATTCTGATTACGCTACAGCTTTCTCGGCTATAATGGTATCGCTGCGAAGTGCTTATGTCTAGTGATCGATTCGGCATTCAGCAACTACAGTCGTAGCTCTGTGTGTTTACTATGCCATTTATTGCTCGAAACTCATCTGCAAAGATGAGGATGTGGTTCGTAGGGCTCACGTACTCATTGGCGGCACGAATGTTTGTTTACAAGACAACATTGAGGTCTGGACTATTTTGGGTAGCGAAAAAAGAGCAGCTTCGCTGTAGTCGACCCAAAACGGCAGCGATTCAGCTGTAGTCGACCCGAAAAGTAAGTAAGTTGGTTGTCAATATCGGGTTTCGCCGGTAACGTCAAAATTGTTTGGCAAGTGTAGCCATCACTCACTATCTCGATGCAAAAAGCAGAGAGCGAGAGCCGCTGCGCGCAGGTCGTCGAGGCGTTGACACTGGCTACAATAGCGTCATGGGTCACGTACCTTATTCATGAGCGGACGACTCACGAAAACGCAAAAAGCGAGTCGCGACTGGAGGATCAGCGGCTGATGCAGACGTCGCACGCACTTGTGGTCCTGCTAGTCCTAGGGTTCGCTGCCTTCGCATTGTCGACTTTTAGGCCACAGGTGTTATCCAAAGCTTTTGGAACGTCGTGCAGGTTAGTTTCCTCATTAATGGATGCTGACGAACATCAAGTGTCACTAAAGTGAAGCTGCACTAATCACGGTCTCATGTTTCAATAGACAAGAACGCGACGCTGGACTTGTCGTGGGCTGTCTACTACTACCTTTGGCTCTGTTTAGCCGCCTGCTGGTGGAAGTCCACCACGAACGATACTTCTCAAGCTTCACGTATTTCTACGCGTGGACTAGTATTTCCATTGGTGTCAGCATACTGCTCAAACTTGCAGTTTTTGGCACTGTGACTTCGCTTCGGGTTTCTACGTTCGTAGATGTGGTGCTGTTGCCGATACTATTTGGAGTGTTCAGTCCCATTGAAGCCGAGTGGAGGTTCCTGCTAGCCACATGCGGCCGCATCATCGTGGCTACTGTGCTGACTGTGGGTCTGAAGCTCCTGCCTCGGTCGTTCACTATCGGGGAAGGGCTGCTCGTTGCTCAAGGCGTTGGCCTCTGCTTTTACGACCTTGTGCTGACCACGATGAGTCGCGTATGTTCTTGCAAGTGTCTGACAATTCAGTGGACAAGGTCGCTAACGTTTTGTTCCTTGTCGTGGCGTAGGTGAGCGAATGTTGTTATATCAACCCACTACCGAGAGCTTTTCACTCGTGGCTCATTTTCGACCTTGAGCGGCTAGACCATGTGCTGGCGTTGCAAGTTGGAGTGCTAGGATCGCTGCTAGTGTGCGCAGCTTTGATTCCGCTGTTGCAATCGTACGGATCGCCGTCGCCCACTGTCGTCGCACGGCCGTTGCCTGTGAAAGGATCTGTGGCATTCGTACTCACAACTGCAGTGGTAGCAGGCGGTGTGGTGTATCCGTGGAGCGGTTTCTTGCTGCAGACGTGGAATCCGGTTGCATGGCTACTTGACTTCCTCACTGAGTCTAGCAGCCTGTTGGTATTCGTACCACGACGAATCGCATTGATGGGGTACTGGGCAGTTTGTCTCGTCGTTTTCGTCCCGTTGTTCGCGTTCATCTCGGACCATTACGCTTTGCAAAAGATTGTCGCACGGAAGCTATTCCACCTCTTGGTGGTACTGATGCTAGGCCCTGCATCGCTCCTCGATGTGAGTATGCTGTCGTTAAGTTACGGTGTGGCTCTTGGCATCTTCTTTCTCCTGGAATGTGTGCGCGCACTGGCCGTGCCGCCCTTCGGCCAGCCACTCGCCTTGTTTCTACGGACGTTCATTGATCATCGCGAAGCTGGACGTGTCATCATGACGCACTCGTATCTACTGCTCGGATGTGCATTGCCGCTGTGGCTTGCTCCGTCGTCAAATACGCCTTCCGCACTCGTGGTGAATGCTGGGGTACTTGTACTAGGCATCGGAGATGCGATGGGGGCCGTGGTCGGTTCGAGTATTGGTAAGCGTAAATTCTTCGGCAGCAAGACCATAGAGGGGTCTGGGGCCATGTTCGTGTCGACGATGCTTGCTTCGATGCCGCTTCACGATTACTATCTACGCTCTTTGGTTCACGGGGAGCACCTTCAGGTACGATACCGACAACGGAGCTCTGAGACGGGGACGACTTGAAAACTGATGGATGTTTGTCGTTTGCTAAATACTGCCAGTTGATGCTGCTGACTGGAGCAATTCTCTTGGTCAGCGTTCTAGAAGCCGCAACAGCACAGATCGACAACTTGGTGCTCCCGCTCTTTGTATACACAGCGTGCAATCTGGTGAGTTGTCACCGGTTGTAAATCGAATGGGGTAAACGTTGTTACCGCTGCGTTCGTGTGGCAACAACTGATGTCGCGGTTTCTGCTCGTGACTCGTACCTGTTTGCATCTTCTTCTTCACTGAAATGCCGCTACGGTAAACGTTACGGTTGTCGTGTGCGTTCTAGACTGCTGCTAGAGATCCTGAGATACCGGACCCTATGACTGCTGCTACTTACTTTGGTCACACGGATCAAGTGATTAATGGTCACTGACACCATGGCATACCTATCCCACTCGCGTCGTGCGAGAAGACTTCCCTCAATGTCATGTACAACATCCATCTAGCAAGATACTGGGGAGGGTGTCGTGAAGTATCCTATTGGCAAGTTGGATATTGCACGAAGACGCGGTCGCGATGTAATGGCGCTTTTGTATCCAGTCCGCACAGAGCCTTGACAAGACGAAGCTCATCTTGCCCGATCGTTTCAATACGAAAGCTTGGTAGCCTAGGTAGCTAGCATCTGTTCGACACTTTTGACCAGTGCTTTCGCTAACGCCCTGCAAGTTCAGTTTTACGCGACCAAACATGTCAACGTTAACGCACTAGGACAAGGTAGCGCTGACGTATGGTCAATAGTGACACGCGCAAAGCTCGACGCGCAATGACATCCATTGCGATCATGTTGCGGTAAAATCACCAGTTGCTAGCGCATGATAAAAGAATGGTGGTGAGAGCCAAGATACCTGGTGTCGGAATCCACACTTTCGGACGGAACCTTCGAGTGCACAGGAATCTTCGACACCGAACTGGGATCAAGTCGAAGGTGGGTCAGGACGGCGTATGACGGAGGTAAGAACGACGCACGTACATGTGATGGAGGAGTACAGCGTAAGAATACGACGCGTAACGCCAAGTCATGGTATCGCACCACGAGACGAGTTCCCAAGTGATCAGTTCGACTTTGCTGTACTATTCTACTCCAAACATCGCAACGACATCGGCAGAAGTGATCGACGTAGGACGAAGAGTAGATTCTTGATAGGAAACAAGCGAAGTTCAGACGATATCTAGGGTTGAAGTTGTATGCAATGAGACAACCAACAGGGTGTAGTGAAGACGCAAAGCCGCGACTTTTTTGCAAGAACTTGGAACAGTCTCACTGCTAAGTTACAAGAGCAAAACTGCATCTGCACGCATCGCCGCCGGCGAGGATGCTGACATGACACTAAATTCAGGTTAAACGCTACGGTGCATTGTTTGTAGCTGGCTACTATAGCTGTTGCCTTAGCTGTAGATAGCTACAACCAATGCATCGTAGCATTGAACCCAAAGTTGTAACAAAAAAGCAGCTGTGGACTTGTCAGTAATCCTCCCGGCACTCAATACTGCACACAATAACTTTTATCTTCTCCGCCGATGTTTGATGTTACCTCACCGCCCCCACCAGCACGTTTTGCGCTTACGACGACGGGCTGCAGTGATAGGCACGAAGACTGACGCAAATGGAACAAGACCGGTCCGTGGATGAGCATGAAGCATGGAGACACAGCACGTCAATCATCAATTGATGAGCCACGCCAAACAACATACGTACTGAGCGATACAATGCATTACCTCTTTCACGAACCATCTACACTCACCTACTGTCTGCGGTTTCATGGTTTGCTCATGGCGTCATGGATGCAATCAAAGTACCACAAATTGTCAAGCGACGGAATAGTCACTTTTTGCAATCGAAGCGAACGTCAGTGCACCCAGCGACTGCTCCAAGCCATCCATGGCATGCTTAATCGTCTCCATGGACGACGCGTACGAAAGACGTAGACCATTCTTCACGCCGAACGCAGAACCAGGCACCAGGGCCACGTGAAAGTGGCGCAACAGGTACTCGCAAAAGTCGTCCGCATCTTTCACCACCTCACTCTTGTCCGCTGTTGTTCCTTGCTTGCCCTCGAAAATCGATGCCAAATCCATGAACACGTAGAAAGCCGACGTCGGGTACGCAAAAGTCAGCTGCGGGATCGCTCGCAAGCGCTGTACAACGTACTTGCGCTTCTCATCCATAATCGCCAGCGTCTCCGTCATGCGCTCCTTCTTTTGCGACACACACTCCATCTCAAACGCCATAGCCTCTACAGCCGCAGCTTGCCCGACAGAGTTCGCGCACGACGTCAATTGGCCTTGCAGCTTCGTGCACACCTGCACAAAATACTTCGGGGCTGCAAGGTAACCGATACGCAGACCCGGCATTGCGTGCGACTTCGAGAAGCCATTCACGGTCAGTGTGCGCCCATACATGTCCGGCAGTGTCGCAAAGCTTTGATGCTCGCGTTTTGCCTCGCCCTCGTCCTGATACACCAGCTGTTCGTAGATCTCGTCGGCAATGACCAAGATGTGCCGGAACTGGGGCTTGCGCAGAACTGCAGCAATGCTCTCCAATTGAGCCGGTGAGTGCATCGTGCCAGCAGGGTTGCTTGGATTGCACAACATGAGTGATTTCACGCGCGCGTTGGCGGTTAGCTCCTCCTCTAGCTTTACCGGATCGATCAGGTAATTCTCCGACAGCTTCGTGTGCAGAATTATAGGCTCACCACCCGTCAACTTCACCATCTCCGGGTAACTTACCCAGTATGGCGCAGGAATCAGTACCTGCTCGCCGGGCTTAGTGATTGACAGGAGGGCCTGGTACACGCTCTGCTTCGCACCATTCGATACAAGGATTTCCGTCAACGGGTCACACTTCAGGCCTTTGCACGTTTCCAGATACTGCGCGATCAGAGAGCGTAGGTCCGCCGTACCCTTCACATCGGTATACTTCACCTTGCCTTGCTCCAGGGCCGCCATTCCAGCTTTCAGTACGCGCTGCGAAGGGGCGAAGTCAGGCTCACCCACACAGAGCGACCACACCTGCTTGCCTTCTGACTCCAGCTGCTTCGCCATGCCGTGGATCACCACCGTTTTCGACGCTGCAACCTTACTCAGCAGCGGGTTCAGTGGATACTTCTCCATCATTGGGACATCCTCACCACCAAGAGACAAAGTGGTGCGGTCGTCGCCAAGTTGCTTCGTCACTGCGTCAAGAGATTCATGAAACTTCTGGATTTGCAGCTCGGAGTTGGGGTTAAACTTATACAGACCTTGGAAGAGATCAAAGCTATCCTTGCATGTGTCATCCACAAGTCGTACAAGGTTCTTGAAACCACGAGTATCAATAGGCGTGTTTCTTACACCCTGCACACTGAGAATTCGGCCAGTTAGGTGCGTCAAGAATTGGCTGCTGGCAGCATACTCGTCGTGAGACTCGCACGTCATCTCCAACATGCGGCACATTTCCATCTCAAAAATGTGTAGAAAGCTGTCCATCACGCAGTTGTGCTCACCAGAAGTGATCCGTACCTTCTCGTACATCATGGGCAGCCCTCTCCACGAATACCGTCCACTCTCTGGGCCAAACATCGGGTGCGTGCACAAAATGCTTGCATTCTGAGGCAGATCCTTGAGCAAGACCTGCTTCGGGTGCGTCTTTACCGACAGCACATCTACAACCACGAGGTTTTCCAGCAATTGCTTCGGGATCTTGCTCAGCACATACTCAAACGAGAGGATGCTGACGCCAAGCACGAGAACATCCAGTCCGTCGAAAAACTGCTCCAGCTGCGTAGAAGACGCGTAGTACTTGCATCCAAGCTGCGCGGCAACAGCAGAGTAGTCTGTGCGCGAGGAAGCCCGGACATCGTGCGACTTGACCATTGTCTTGGCCAAAAACTGTCCAAAATTGCCAAATCCGTAGATGCCAATGTTCAAGCGCGTTGGCGGTTGCTCACATGGCGTCATGGCTGGCGAGGCAGTGATCGGATTGGCCCGATACGCGCCAGCCGCTTCGAGCGTCTTGCGCACATCGCCCAGCAGCTTCCCCTTGGTCGGGTACGATCCCAAGACGCGCACAAACTTGCAAAACTCGCGCAGATGCCGCAATGCATAAACAATATCTTTATCCATCTGGTGTCCAATGAGGTCGACGTAGAACAAGTAGCTGTACTTGCGACGGACGCTCTCGGCCGAGAGTGAAAAGTCCGCCGTGAACGGCACTGTCGGCCCAACTGCGTCATGATACTGCTGCTCTGCTGTGTGTCCCCACGGCCGGCTTTCGATCTTGGCCATGTCAATCTCGCGCAGCGAAAACGCCGACAGGGCCTTGTAGAGCTGTCCCTTCTCATTGCTATCAACGAACGAGAACACGAGCGATGTCTTGAACTCTGTCGATGCGGTTGCATCGAGACCCATGTCTGCTTTCTTGCTTAGCAGCAAGAAACGCGTGAAATTGCCAGCATCGTCTTCTACGTTGCGCTGCAGCACGTCCAGTCCATAGTACTCTGCAGCCAAGTCACTGGCCACAACGGCTGTGTCAGTCCATTGGTTGTCCGCCAGCATCTTGGCACTTCCTGCAGTATCGTACTCGGCCCGGGGTTTCGCCCCGAGGCACGCAATTGTATGGGCGCATTGCGCCAGAGCTTGCGGGTGGCTAATCACCGTCTTGATGTCGCTCTTCGTCACGCCTGGCAGCGCCAGGAGCGAGTGCTCGACGCGGAGATCGTACTCGCCGACGATCGAGAGGCCGAACTTGAGCAATAAATCGTAATTAGCGTGGATACTCCCGCCGAGCGAGTTCTCAATGGGTACAACAGCAAAGTCCGCGTCGTCGCGCTGGACGGCAAGGAATGTCTCGTCAAAGGAGCAGTAGCCTACAGCCACAACGTTCGAGCTAGACCCGAGTAGCTGACGAGTGGCTTTTTCCGAGTACGCGCCAGGGACGCCCTGGTACGCAACTTTGACGACACTGTCCATGGTGTGGGAGGGGTGTCTTCCTGCTAATAGAGGTCGCAATAGATGTGGTAGCAAAGCCGTTTAGTAGCAGTAGTAGTAGTAGTAGTAGTAGTAGTAGTAGTAGTAGTAGTAGTAGTAGTAGTAGTAGTAGTAGTAGTAGTAGTAGTAGTAGTAGTAGTAGTAGTAGTAGTAGTAGTAGTAGTAGTAGTAGTAGTAGTAGTAGTAGTAGTAGTAGTATGAGCCCTAGCAGCAGTAGTAAATGAGTAGTCGTAGTAACAATTGAAATTGTAGTAATAGTGCTAAATTTGTTGTTGTAGCTTTACTACTAGTCGTAGCAGCAAATGTATCTGTAGTAGCTAAGCTTTTTAGTAGAAGTACTGATACAAGTAGTTCAGCTTGAAGTAGTTCAGCTTGAAGTAGTAGTAGTGGTGTAGTAGTAGTTGTTGTAGTAGTAGCAACTGATTTTGTAATAACTAAGCATTTTAGTAGTACTAGTGCTTGCACAAGTAGTAGCAGTTGGACATTCGACTTGTAGTAGCAGTTGGACATTCGATGTTATCATCTATTAGGAGCAAGATGCGAGACCAACCGGCTACATTAGGCCACGAGTATCCGAACGTCTGATGGGAGCGAGACGCGAGACCAATCGGCTACATATAGCCGAGAGCATCTGAGCGTCTGTGACGTCGAGCTCTCGTGCCTCGTCACAGCATGCGAGATTACTGCTCGATGCTGTTGCGATCAAATGTTATCGCTGTCTCGAGAATGATATTCCAAGTCCCTCCAAGCCCTGGAGAGGTGTACTTCATACCATCTGATCGACGAGACCCAACATGGTCTCGAGCTGGTAATCCACTTGACAGAGCATTGATTGCATCGACAGCCCAGCCAACACGAACATTATACTGCTTCGTTGTTCGAGGCACTGGACGAACAAACTCATAAGAGCCCTCAGTCCGAGTACGAAACAGCCCCATAAAATGGCCACCACGATGCAACTACTGGTTGATGCGTTGTGGTGCCCACGAGAACACCTGCGAAATCGATCTTGCTGACTCGCGTCTTCGTCACGGATATTGCGCTCTCCTTTTCGTGATATAGTGAATCGAATCGCGACAACAACGAGTCTGGTCTCCATACCTGCTACTTTGAAGTAACTACCACTGCCGCTGGAAGATACGTAAAAATCACTCACAGAGCCTCAGTACATGACTTTGTGCACAAACCTAGCCCACAGAAAGCGTTTACGGAAGTCTACATCTACAAGCCGATACTGCAGCGGTCGTTACTGTTACAATCTCGCCCCGCTAGAGGCACGAACTGCCCGTCGAGCATACAAAATGCGCCATCATGCCAGAAGTATGAACACGTAGTTGAGCACAACGCGATGTCAACAATAGCGAGCATCACGCTTAGCTTAGTCTTGCCATTCGAGCAACGGTTGTCACCAGAGCGGCGTTGAACGATATCGACTGGGCTCACCTCGCGATATCACACAACGATGTCAAAGCTCTGCTTCCCTTAATTGCAAGGAACTTGCAATAATTGCTTCCGGGTGCTGAGTCCTGGAGAGTTGATGCACAACAAGCATGACATTGATCAGTGGTGCACGCACGGGTCAACATGTCGTTCTATCACTTTTCACAAGGGTGACCCTACGTTCTGCTTCCACCATTGTCGAGTACTTGCAAGTACTCGACCTGCAGATTGCATGGATGAGAAACAGCTGTGACCCCGCTCGTGCGAAAGATTGTATCATTGCGAAAACGTTCACGGCATGGCTAGTGGTGGGCACAACCCTGACAGCTTGAGTGTATACAATACTCACATTCTTGGCTGCAGCTTTGCAACTCCAGTGACGAGATCCGATTCGAGCTACTACGAGTTTCCTGGTATTCGCCCAATCTCACGGTTTGTGGTAGGCGTTATTGCGTCGTCCTTGCGTCTAATCCATGAGCAGTGTTTTTGACCACAACAACGAGCAGCGTCGATTGTTGTACCGATATCAACTATTTTTTCTTATCGTGTGGACAGGAGGACAAAAGGTTAGACAAAAACTTGTAGATGACATAGCGTCTGCAAGATAGCGAGAATATAAACCTACAGATTACATTTCGGCGCTCGGGCATGCACACTCGGCGATAAGATGCATCTCGTACTCGTCTACATCCACGAGCTCACCGTAGAAGTGTTTGTATTCACATGACGTCGCTTCTTCAGCGAGCTACGCATCCTCTTGCCTCTAGAATTCGTTGGACTATTGTGAGCACTTTGCATGTCTAACGAAAGGTCTCGCAAAGCATCGCGACCGCGATGGTGCTCCACAAGTCGTTTTGATAAACTGCTTGCTACACGGCTTATGATTTCGTGTTGTAATGCGCAACAATGATCGTAACTTCTTTGTGCTCACGGTAATCAGGGCACGAGTACTTTGTAACAAATATTGTAGCGTCGATGATGAAGATGCGGGGACGTTCTGGCTGGACTGGAACTCAGTCTGTTCCTGTCCTCGCTGAGACTATTGCCCATACTACCGCTTGTACTTATCACAAGCAATGTACACGTGCTTTCTCACTTTCCACCATTATGACGCTATCGTTACGGTGGCGGGATCAAGAGAACCTGAAGATGTGTACGTGGCGAAAGGCATTTCCGTGAATTAGCCAAGGTGGCAAGCATTACGCAATTTACGGGCACTGGGGATGGTATAATCGTTGCATACAACGTAGCTGCACATCATGCTTTCGTTACCTATCATATCCGGTCGCGTCACACACTATCCGTCCGTCCATGTCTTACCAAAGCTGCAGAACCATACAAACGAAGTCTCATGACTGCCGTCGCTGGATGACGAAACATCGACAGATCCGAAGTTCTAGACTTGTACTGGTTATTTGTCCTGACTTGGGCCCTTCAATTCGAATCGGGTCCCTCGAAGACTTTGGGGAACAACACTTATCCGAAGATCTGCCTGAACGATTCTTGTCAGCTGCAACCATGCTGCTGCTTTGCAAAGTGGCGCCTCACAATATCACCAAAGGTTTCCAACATGGAAGGTGCTTGCTAAGGTATGCGTTGTATGGTAGTTGTACAATGCACCACAAGTGTTCGCCGGAGTATTCCGCATAAGCTTGTCGGGCCGTCAAAATTCTGGCTTAGCTGATTGAATGCCAAGTGTAGTAGTACCAGTTTGTCTGTTGCAACGTGCGAAGTTGTTCACTAAAGCGCTGTGATACAACTTGAATGATAGATTCTTCTTGTTTTCAATATTTGTTCTTATTTTGGAAAATTGCAGTACAGTGCTAGCTGCAACATACTCATGTAGATGCGGTTCGGACAAAAGAGTCCCAACTCAGCTTTCAAGACGTAGCCGCTTGACAGCACGGCAATTGATTTGACTTGCGTGTGTAGGTCACGACACTCAAAGCTCTTCTAACTACTTGCCTGTCAATCGTTTTACGTCACTTTCAATACCTGCTACACACTAAAGCTGTGTCATATAAATATATGAGTGAGCACGTGGCGGACAAGAAATGGGAGGCCGACACTACAAGTGTTACACGAAACCTGCGTCAATTCTCCCACACAACAATACGGTTATTGCTGTGATTATATGGCCAATTCATGCGAAATGTCGAAAGCTGCATGGACTATTGATCTTCAGTTGAGGCCTTTGGTTCTAGCCACGCAGCCACTTGAATCATTCTATCTTGACCATAAGAATAAAGAGGAGTCTGGAATTATGCATGGATCCTCACCATTCAATATGCATCCAGTCTTATTCGGTCCACACACGTCGCTTGTAGTCGTACCATGCATAAACAAGTAAAGCGCGCTAACAAGCTAGCAAATGATGTTCGACAAACAGCGAGTTTTTTGTATGACAGTACTGCTCTGCCTATATTGATGGCCATAGGTTTCATTACAGGTGTGACATCATTGGCCAGGAAAAATCATATCCATCCAAAGTCAGTCACGAATAAGTGCTGATCCTCGTGCCGTACACGGTGTGACAGGCCCTAGAGGTAATGAGGTCGATCTTTTTCAAAGTACAGTATTACCGTCAATGATGACGACTGACACCGCAATTAGCAAAAGCAACAATGGTTGAGCTTCTAGCAGACCGCTCTTATCTTCTGTACTATGGAAGGGGTAGATACAGCTATATGTCGCTCGATCGTGCATGCATATCCAAACATGATGACGAGGGCGAACACGATGGAGGAACGTGGATGCGCTGTACGACCAGCGCTATACGTATTAAAGTTGCAGCAAGCCGACCGATCCGATAGAATGCCGCTCTCTTTGCAATTACTTAACAGAACAACACCCAATTACACACATCCTGGACATTTCTTCACATTGGGTACATTCCGCAACTCAAATCATTCAACTAAACTGCTAGCCGTTTCAAGCCACATGCGTTGCATCGTTAGAAGGTGGTACGAAGTACGATGTGCGAAGGTGCTGTTGATCCGCTCGATAGCGTGCGCTTTTCCACTTGACAGTGCGCATTAGTACGCAGTATCGACTGGATATTGTGTGTGCAACCGGAAAGCTTTTGTCCCAGCCGACTTCAGCACGTAGTCTTGTCCTGACGGATACGCTGACCCGACAACTGGCACAAGACGCGTCTGAAAACACGGTAGGCGCAGCTGTGAGACCGCCGTCGAGCCAGATTTCGTCGAGGTGGAACCAACCAAGAAAGCAAGCAGCGTTCAGAAGGTTGCGCAACCAAGTTGTGTGCACGTTATTTCGTCATTTGCAGATCCGCTCGACGTACCACCATGTGCCACTCGACCTTTTCTCTGGCGCATGCATCAAAAGGCACGCGAAAGGGATGAATCCATGCGGAGACAGTACGTCGTGACATAGTATCTACACGGCCCCGCACCATCTGCCAAAGGCTCGTTTCCCACACCATTTGCCCGGAGGCTCATGACCTTCGGATAAAATATAAGAGCACGATGCGGATATTTGTCGACCACCTCATTTGCTGCATCGGAACCCAAGTCGTCCGTCCGATCGTGCGAGTATCCGATGAACTGGACATGCATGGCAATGCAACCTATACGTGTCCATCTTCCAACAACCAATCGCACCTCTCCGGTCGTCCCAAGCAAGATCTTGACGCGGAAGCGAAGAGCGCGCCGATTCTTGCCACAACCACGAAGTCCGAGACGCATCAAAAGAATCCGGAGACTCGTCAAAAGTCCAGCGGGGTACCTTGGCAAGTGGTTCGAGAATACTTGAAGACGCATCGCAAACACGCTTGGATGGCAGGCAGATCGTACGTGTTCTATCTTTCAGCGTATCTTGCCACCGCTTCCTTCTCAGCAATGGGCAGAGACGACAGGTTTGCGTCCAGCGTAATGATGACGAACTAAGGTTGGCCGATCATGATTTTCTTGCTATGGTGAGAAGAGCGCGGTTGTAAACGCTACTTCACGATACGAGCAAAGATCATTTCAAATAGACGAAGCAGCTTGTATTCGTCGAGCAATGCCACTTGCATCGGTCCCGAATACCGCGAATCTACGTTTATTCCTTTCCCCAAGGTTAAACCAGGCAAAGTTATGGTTGATTTTGTCACATTATACTGGAGAGGCAACGTTATGGACTGTCTGCAGGCGGTTTCCAGAACGTCGTTACCTACTGTGGCGCTGAAACTTCGCATGTGTTCGAGCTTCGTCACGCAGGTAGATGCATGTTATGCCTGCTGGATGTATGGGTTGTGAAATTGCGGATGACGCTAGAGAAAAAAATGAGGTTATCCACCACGCAACCAATCGATCGCTTGATCGCGGCAGCCGGGACGTCTTCGCTTTGTTGACGACCGACGAACTGGTCGTCGTCCGACGCCGGACTTGTGGCCTGCTTGTCCACGCATTTGTAACGCTGTTTCACCCCAAGCACCTTGTCCATCCACGCGAGTGCTGCAACTTGTGCTCGTCTCATGCTCATTTTCATTTTCGTTGCGTCTGCAGCAAGTAACTTCAACGTCAATCGCCAACTCACAATTATGGGAGCAGAACTGAAGATTGCGTACGCAGGCGGCAGAGTCGGGCGAGTCGCGCGCCACTTCGAGGACCAAACGGCTTCGGGTGTCGTCTACAAGTGCGCTGAGGACGCGTGCATTGCCGTCAAGAACGAAGAGGTCGACCTCGCCGTGGTTCCCATCGAGACGTCCACGCTCGGCACCATCCACATGAATTACGACTTGCTGCTCAAGCACAACCTGTATGTGATTGCCGAGTACGACCTGCCGAAGGCGGGATTGGCTTCGGTGCAAGGGGTCGACATTGCCTCGTATACGCAGTTCCTGCTGCTTTCCAAGAGAGGGGACTTGGCGTGGAACGCGAAGAGTGACAACGGCAATTTCAAGACGTCTGTCGTGTTTGGGTTCAAGAACAGCTCGACCAAGGGCATGCTGAACCGTGCGCTCGAGGTCTTCCTACGGTACGAACTTGAGCTGATTAAAATCGACAGTCGTCCATGGGCCGGCCAGGCCCCCCAGCCGTATCGCAGTGAGATAGTCGCGGACTCGTGCAAATACAAGTACCTCTTCTACGTGGATTTACAGGGCCATCTCACGGGTGCAAACATGGCGGCTGCGATTTGGCGGCTGAAAGAAATCTGCTCGTTCGTGCGCATCCTGGGGTCCTACGGGACGTCGCGGGGTGAGAAGGCCATAAAGGTGGCGGGACTGTCGCTTGGGAGCACCCGCATTGGGACTGGCACCATTCGCACCATGGACACCAAGTACCCGTTGAACCCTGTGTTCCAGAAGGTGACGGTTGCCAAGACAATGTTGATCCATGGCCAGACCAAGCAGATGGAGGCCGATGGAAAGAAGGTGTGGTCGCTATGCGTGGGTGAGCCTGACAATAATCCGCATGAGCACGTGCTAGCTGCTGGTGCCAAGGCCTTGATCGAGGGCAACGTCAAGTACTCGCACATGAAAGGTCTCGTGGAGCTTCGCGGTCTCATCTCGACGTACTTAGAGAAGGCCAAGGGTCTGAAGTATGATCCGGCCACGGAGGTGCTGGTATCGAACGGCGCGCAGCAGTCGGTGTTTCAGGCTCTGTATACCGTTTGCCTACCCGGTCAAAAGGTGATCATCCCGACACCGTACTGGATTAATTACCCGGAGATCGTTAAGCTAGTGTACGCAGAACCCATTCCGTTACGCACGCTGCTCGAGGATGACTATTTGATCAACCCGGCAGAGCTGGAAAAGACGCTGATGGCGCACCCGGATACCAAGGCCATCATCCTATGCAACCCAAGCAACCCGTCGGGCACGTTGCACGGCCCGGATCATTTGGAGAGAATCGCGGCCGTATTGCGCAAGCCTCAGTTCCGTCATATCGTCGTGGTGTCGGACGAGATCTACGAGCAGTTGTTGTACCAAGACGAAGGCGTGCCAGAGCGAAAACACGTGAGCTTTGCCGCTCTGCCGGGTATGTACGAGAGGACGCTGTTGGTGAACGGGTTCTCAAAGGCGCATGCCATGACCGGCTTACGTGTCGGCTACCTCGCGGCACCCAAGCATTATATCGATCCTTGTACACTGCTGCAGGCCCAGCTGACGTCGTGCCCAAATACTGTAGGCCAGGTGGCTGCTGTCGAGGCACTCAAAAAGGAGCTGGAGTGTATGGGGAAGGGTGAGCGTCGCATTGCAGCGGTGATGAAGAATCTGGATGTGAAGCGCCACTACATCGTCAAGCGACTGACTGCCATGCCCAACGTGCGCTTCGCCTACCCGACATCAGCGTTCTATGTGTTCTTGGACTTGTCGTCTTACTTCCAGGGCAAGAAGGTCGTCATTGCGAACGAGCGTGTGTCCCTGGCGAGCGTCGATGACTTCTGTGCGCACTTGTTGCAACATTCGCATATTGCCGTTGTGCCTGGTTCGGAGTTTGGCGACGAGTTTGGCATGCGCATTTCATACGCGAGCTCGATGGAAGCGATCGAACATGCAATGGACGGAATGGAGCAGTTGCTCAAGTCGTTGACTTTTGTCAGCAGTGGAAGTGATCCATCGATGCCATGAATCACATGCAGCTGATCCTTCGCTCGTTGTCAACGGTCGCATGTATTCATTCTTCAGAGCTAGTGCATCACATCTATTGTATTCAGATAAAAAATATATGGCAATTTGGGCCGGTCGTCCGCTGAAGTTTTTATCGGATGAAGGAGGGTAATTTGGTTGTTGGACATTTTCTTCCAAGTACAGCCCATGCGGAAATCATTGGGTAAAAATGCTTAACAGCCATTCTTTTACTGAAGTAAACAACACTTCCCCAGTCAGCTATTGTTAACATGAGACACCGCTAGTGCACGATATGTTAACATGGATCGTCTTCTGATGTAATAGATATATCTAACTTGTGGGAAGAAATGCACATTGGTGTGTAGTAAAGAATCCAGTGAGGTTTGATGTAACTGATAGCGTCCTTTCGTGCTTGCAGACAAAGGCCCTGTAGAACAAATCGCTTCGATGGTTGCATTTCAAGTCACGCTTTCTTACAACCGATCAACGGCCGCAGCAGTCTACCCTGCAGCGGACTCATGTTGTGTTCATAGATGGCGAACAGGTAAGCCAAACTCGTCCTAGATAATGGAAACTATTTCCACTGGGAGTTTACATGTGAATGACACTTTCCCGATGGGGGCTACTTTCGCATAAAGGGGTCGTCAATCCTGAGAACGAGAGACCGGAAGAGTGGTTCACCGACGATGCAAATGCAGTCGGAATAATTGCTCAAAGGCGGGAGATACAACATCAATCCAAGATATGGCCTGCGACAAGAGCTATGCACGTGTGGGGGACGCTGCAGGAGCTCTACAACCAACTCATGCTTCACAACCTGATCGTGATGACCAAACAACTCCGTGAGTTGAAGATGTAGACCGTATCGAAAATGAAGAAGAAAATCGATGCGTTTGAAGAGCCAGTCGCCGGACTTCACGGTCTAGGTAATCCTTTGGACGAGTCAAGGCAGTCAGTGATCCTGGTGAGCAGTCTTTGGGCGGAATATTAGCTCGTCTCTTCGATGATGAAAGTGAGATAGGCGTGACGCTGATCGAGGCAGTGAATAATTTCCTAAAGATTCGGAGCGGATCAAGAAGAAGGAAAGAGCAACAGCAAAAGCGTTTCCGGCAGCCGAAAACGCTGCACAGCTTACTACCGGCTACAGGGACAGCGCATCTGGATTGGTCTAAGAAGAGCGGGAATTTCACATGCATGTGTGTCTCGCTTGACCCTTACTGATGACATAAAGCGAACTGTCCTAGAAAAAGCGCTTACAAGAATGTAGATGTGCGTTTGCACTAAACGAGGATCGCTTCACCGGATGGCTGATATATAGCCGTTCGATATTGCATGACTCCACACCGCGGACATCTCTTCGCCTTCGATGAAACGATCACGATCACTACAGTAAATGTTGCAAACAGCAAGAATATGCGTTGCAGGAACGTAAACGATTCAGTTTGTAGATGTAAAGTACAAACGGATCCCGATGTTGAATGTGCTCTTTGTCCCAGAACTCGACAGTCGGCTACTGCCAGTGAGCAAACATGCTTAGTGGGGTATATTGATAATTGATATTCAGTTTCTCCATGCATGATTCGGGGTAAAGCCAGCGCGATGGCGCTAGGATAGAGAATTTGTAACGCATACATGATAGGGTGCTAGCAGGAGGAAGCACGGTTCGTATAGTACGCCGGAGTTGATACTGAGCGGAAGGTGTGGCACGCTCGTATGAGAGATCCACGACAAATGCTTTCGTAAGTACGCAGCGTGCTACAGCTGGTATACCGGCGAGTGAAAACACTCTGTGGTCGCTGCCAGAACAGCAAGCATACCGCTTAATAGTTTCCAGCATGAAAACTGACAGTGACTTGCTGTGAGCTACGTCTCGTACGTGCAAATGTGATGAAAAAAGAATATGTACCGTACATCGAGATGGAAGAAGTGAAAATCTTGTCGAAATTCCTAATTATCTTTCACCGGAGTGTCATGCTCCGCCACCCCAAGCATTCTAGAGGTAGCATTCAGTTTTTCAGCCTGGGGCGGAATACTGCAGACAGTCATGGGAACATGTTCACTTAATTGTAACGGTGTATACGCTGTAAAAACCATATTGCCAGATGGGAGCAAAGATCCACTTTATTTAAAGCGTGCAAGAACCATGGGTACGCTAAAGCGTTGTATGCATATATTAGTATCAGTGGTGTTAAGGATACTGAGACAAAGCGATCGCGAGATTTTACCGTCGAGTTGGGCGTGGGAGCCTCTGATTGCCAGCGTCAGTTAAGTCCGAAAAAGACTGATTTATGGATATGAGCTGGGACTGGTGGCTCACGATCGTGTACCAAACGTACCAGATCGCGAGATCGTTGGTGACAAGGATGGGATATGTGATTTGCTCTAGGAGGATTCCGTAGTATAAGACGAATCTTACCAGAGATCCCGGCCCCAACCAAAGATCGCGATTCCTACCAGAAATCACGAGATCACTAAGAGATCATGTTATCACCAAGAGATCACCAAGTCATCCGGAGATCACGAGATCCCCCAGAGATCTCAAGATCACCCGGAGATCACGAGGTCACCCAGAGATTATGGGAACACCCGGAGATCACGAGGTTACCCAGAGATCACGAGATCTTGGGGTCAGCTGCGTACAAGTCAGGTGTGGACCACGCCGAGGTTCCAGATAGAGCGCACTTGGTGTAAACTACATAGGTACAAGGGGACGATCTTTTGGAAAGGAAAACGCGTGGCTTTGGAAGCTCGTGCTACAGATAGGTCGAGCGATGTGTTAGTTTTTAGGTTTGATTGGTTAACATTAAACATAGTTCAATTTGCTTCTAAGTACACGTCTCAACTTCTCCTCCGGGTTGGATTATTGGCCACCAGACGTAAGGAAAAGTTACATACTTAGACCAAGTGATATCCCTGGATTGTTTGGCTAGGGATCAAGGACCCTAAAAACATCAACTGCGATTAACGCAGCAAACATGTAAAGGCGAAGGGTGAAAGATTGCGAGACGGCTCGAGTGGTCATAAGTTTCGCGAATCAAGTATCTACTTTGGACAAGGCGATCTCGTGGATGTCAAGGTAGCTCATATCGAGCACTTTACAAATATACCAGCAATCGTGCGAAGGTTTCCACGCGACAGCTTCAATCCCAACAATGCCCAATGTTCGGCATCGACTCGAGTCCACCTGGAGGCGTGTACCTACCGACGGGTACACAAGGTGAGAAAAGGTCACAGAACGGAATCAGAGTCCCCCCTCCGTCAGTCGGTCGTCTGGGCGCCAGTATAGAGTTGGGATCGACTCCTCAAAAGAGCGATCGCCACTCTACCACAAAAATCTTCTTTATAAGAAGAAGCCGTTTCAGGTGAAGATTCAGTAGAGTGGTGGTAGGCAATGAAGGATGAAATGATTGATCATGTTTAGAGCGACGAATAGACTCTAGTTTCACTTAAACTGATGAGCAATCCTATTCCGTGTAATTGGGTATACAATTTGAAGATTGATGACCCTGTCCAGTTCATTTACTACGAGGCAAGGTTGGAAAAAAGTATTCAAACAAATTTTGGGGTCAATTTCTCTGAGTATTACTCCTTAATTCAATTCAAGTGTTAATGGCTTTAAGTGTGTAGCGAAAGGTTACGAGATGGAAAAATTGGGCACAGACACATCATTCCTGGACATTGTGCTCAATTCCCTTGTGTTCATGGATATTTCCAAGGGAATGGAGGAAATAGATAACGCTGGCATCAATGTGTGCAAGATGAACAATAAAATACGACAATTTCATGTATTGTGGCAGTATGCAAACCGCTGGAACAAGACAGTGACATGTATGTACATTTAGAGCTCTGGGGCGGATCGATGCGTGTATTCATAAGGAATCCGGAACCATACACATCTGTTATTTTAATACATGGACGACATGATTATGGCTGCGAATACCTTTGAGAAGATCAATAGCGTCAAGGACTCTCTGAGAAAATTTTTCAAAATAAAGGTCTAGGTGATACCACATTCATCTTCGTAACGGAATGACGGAAATTGACCACGGCAAAGCCGCTGAGATACTCATGGCCTATCATTATCGATAAATTAGCGACATTGTGGAGCGATTTAACCAGAAGAGCGCAAAAGGGGTCGATAACACGTGCACAACAGTCGTGAAGATGTCGAAAAGATTATTGACAACAACGGATCAGTGCCATCGAAGATACAGCCAGGACCATATCGCTCACTGATAGGGTTCTTGTTGTATACAACAGCTTGCGCCCGACCGTATATTGCTTATACAGTGGCTCAATCATCACGTTTACTGGAGAACCATGAGCTTAACACGGAAAGACAGCCATTTCTGTTCTCAGATACCGTAAGTAACCATCTAAGCACGGTTTCATATAAAACGTGGCTCAGGGGAAGTAAAAGCTGAAACATACATGGATGCTGTAGGATGTAACATAATTGGTATCACCCTTATATACTCGCAAACTAGGGCCTTATCACATCAATCACTTTGTATTCTACACCACACTGATCAAAACAATATTTATTCAGTAGATTAAACCGATGCGAATTCAGTTCATGTAATCACGTTGCCGTTTTTAGATATTATATGTTGAGTAATCAAATCGTTCCGTAGATATCGCAATCTTTATTGATGATGTACAGGTCTGTAATTGGTTTGATTTGACCAAACATTTACTGTACATGATAAAAGCGTCTCTGGTTTTAATGCCGCAACAAGCTTTTTGCGCGCAATATTGGTTGATCATTAAATGTTAGAGATTTTTCGTATTATCGGAAATCCATTTAGATCAATAAAGAGCATCAACCGCTTTAAGATAGCGCTGGTAACATGAACTACGCAAATCTGTGCGGCTCTCTAGGATAGGGAGGCTAAGCTACAAAAAGAGGTATTTGACGACTAAATAATTCAAGAAATATGGTAAAAACGATATCTACTATCCTCAGCACGGTGTTGTTGCAGCGCTGGTATCTTGTAAAA